AAAAAAAAAAAAAAAAAAAGAAAGAAAGAAAGAAAAAAGAAAGAAACTAGGAAATTGGCATGAGCCTTAAAACTGAAAAGGTTCTTATTCAGGTGTGGTGCACAGCTGTAGTCCCAGCACCCAGCACTCCACAAGCAGAGGCAAGAGTGATATAGTGGAAGGAAACTTCTATCCTGCTAGATGTCCAGCTCAAGTTCATGTTCTCTGAAATAGAAGAATGGATTCTAGAAACAGTGGGGGTTAAGAGCAGAATAAGGGGGCCAGAGATATGGCTCAGTACATATGCGCTTCCCTGGCAAGCGCAAGGGCCTGGGTTCAATCCCCGGTTCCGCAAAAAAACAAGAACAAAAACAAAAACAAAACAAGAGCAGAACATATTTATTGGGGAAAGAAAGCTTCTGTCTGATAGAAGGGGTCCTGAGGGTCCTGCCTTTTCAAGGGATTTTTATAGGGCAAATGGACGATGTAAGGCAGGTCCAATGTGGGGGAAAATGGGAAATCACAAAGTGGGCATGAGTTGGGACAAAACTATGGTGAATCAATAAGATTATGAGTATATTTGCTCAGGTAATATTGATGAAAATGGGGAAGTCACTTAGCAAGGAAGCAGGAAAAAGAACAGGGCTTTTCCTGGAGAGGATGGGTCAGAGGTTCTTCTCTGGCTTTCTCAGGGTGACCAGTACCTATTGAGAACATCAGTCACTGTTATTTATCCATAGGGGAAGTATGTGGGTACATTTCTTTTTTCTTTTGTCTCGAGGTCTGGCCCTTGAGAGCTGTGTCTGTGTCTTCCCTACTGTTATAATATATCTCCTATTCTGCTCCTGCTCCTTGATAGTCTTGAGTGTCTATAGTATTTCCGACTGAGTGCCACTGTCTATAAAAAGATCTTCATGAGTTCAAGGTCAGCCTGAGCTATATCTCAAAACAAAACAAACCCACCCCTGATCAGGAAAGGTTCTTGCATGAAGGTGAAAATAAAAGGAGGGCCAGGGAGATAGTTCAGTAGGGTCTGAGTTCAATCCCCAGTTCCGCCAAAAGAAAAAGAAAAAAAAGGAAACAAATATAAGCAAAGGTTAGAAAGCTAAAAAACAAGCCCTGATTATTGTGGAATAATTGGGTTTTGGGACAATGAGGTGGTTTCATTTAACCTTGAAGGTGAGGGTAGCCAAGTGGGTGTGTGGTAACCAAGCCTCAAGAAAGGAAAAATTTAAATTTTTCAGGATGGTATAATACTGAGTTTCGGCCTCTCTTAACAGTACTTGGCATAATGGTTTGATATAAATCTTTCATGAATCAATTCATTATGTATAAATGTCTAAGTTTTTTAAAAGGATACCTGTAAAAATTTATAATTCATACATAATTGTATATCTGGGATGCAATGTGACATATCAGTACATGTATACATATATAATGATCAAATTAGGATAATCAGTATGTCTGTCATCTACAGCATAGCTTCTTTGTGTTGGAAATATTAAAAATCTTTTGTATTAGGTGTTTTGAAGTATACAATTAATTGTCCTACAGTTATTGTACTAGTGGTGTAAAAGTTATTTCTCTTAACTACATTGCACCTCTGCAAGAATGTTTTTAAATGAGCTTGACTAGAGAATGATCTCTAAATCCTCATCAGCTGACTTTAAAACATAGATCCATACTTTTGGATTATGGTAAAATCAGCTGTAATGGAATAGAACAAAAGAATCGCCTTCAAGGTTGTTTTTTTTAAAAAAACAGGGTAGTTCAGGCTGGCCTTAAACTCACTATGCAGCCCAGGTTGGCCTTAACCTTGCAGTGCTTCTCCTGCCTCGGCCCTTGAGTGCTGGTATTACAGATGTATGCCCCCATGTCCAGCTTCAAGGAATTTTTTTGATTAGATAAAACTTTTAAAGTGATAGCTTTATAGACAGTTGGTTTGTAATTTTACCCATTGTATTTACATGTGACTAATATAAAAACTTTTATTTTAAACAGAATTTAGTTTTTTATTCTATAGCTATTTGCAGGAGGAAAGGTTATTTTCAGTAGCAAAATTTGGAAATTATTTTCAGGTATATACATAGATTTTTTTTAATGACTGATTTATTACAATTTATTCCTTTTATTTTTATTTCTAATATTGATATAGGGGAATGAAACTCCCAATCTGAAAGGTAGCTGGGATGAGTTCATGTTCTCTTAAACCAAAGAATGAATTTTAGAAACAAATGGAGGTTAAGAGCAGAATATATTTATAGGGAGAAAGAAAGCTTCTGTCTGAGAGAGAGACAGAAGGGGGCCCCTGAGTGGGTTGTCCCTGGGAAGCTGTCTCTTCCAGGGACTTTATAAGAGTAAAACCATATGGTGAGGCGGGTCTAGGGTGGAGAACATGGAAACTTCCTAGGTGGGCATGAGGTGGGACAAAACTATGGTCAACCAATGAGATTGCAAGCACCATTGCTTAGGTAAAATTGATTAAATCCAGGACTAAATGAAGAATCCAGTGAACATAAATACAGGACAAGGTCTCTTGTTGTGGGTTGGTCTTAGTGACTTTAGGGCCCTTTCAAGGTGATTGATATCTATTTAGAGTATCAGTCACTGATGCTCATCCCTAGGGAAGTATGAGGCAACATTTGTTTACTTTTGTCTGGCCCAAAGCTGGAGTGTTTGTCCCTTCCAAAGTTGCAAAGTCATCTTGTCTTCCTCCATATTGTTTCCTTGAGGGCCTGGCCCTGTCTGACTGCTTGTAATATTTCTATCTAATTTAGCTACCTACAACAAAATAGGAAAGAAATCACGGCTGAAAATTGTTTCAAGGTACAAATTAATGAGGCTATACTTTATTATAAACCATCTTTTTTTTTATTTAAGAATTTTGCTGTTTATTTCGTACCAGGGATTGAACTCAGGACTTGGGTTTACCAGGCAGGTGCTTATGCCACTGAGCTGTATCATCAGCCCATCATTTTCATCAGGAAAGAGTAGACTATTTAGGAGAGTAAAAAAAGGATGAAATACATCATATATATGTACCAATTCCCCAGGATGAATGTAATTTCTGTGTATCAAAAAATGTATTTAGAGCTGGCTAGATAGCCCCACAGACCAAGCACCTGCTTAGGCAAGCACAGGGACCAGGGTCCATCCCCAGCACTACATGACAGGCCTCACCTGCCCCATGGGCTCCACGGACCAGGCCGCCCCCACCTCCAGGCTGCACTGCTGAGCGAGAGTCTGGGCTTGGTGGTGCACACCTGTAAGCCCAGCACTGGGGAGGCTGAAAACAGGAGGGTCACTACAAGTGCAAGCTGTGCAGTGAAACCCTGTACCAAATATATCTTTTTTAAAAAGGTATTGTACTGGGGCTGGAGAGATGGCTCAGTGGTCTAAAGCACCTACTTAGAACAAGCTT